AGTGGATTTGAAAAAGTACTACATCTTTTTAACAACAATACCAACAGAATCAGGCTAAGCCACAGACTCTGTGGCTAAGGATGTGCCCCAGTGGCTGGAAGGTTGCTGGTTCGAATCCTGCGGCTGGTAGAGGAATCCTACTCCGTTACGCACCTGAACAAGGCCCTTAACCCCAACTGCTCCAGGGGTGCTATATAAATGGCTGACCCCAAGTTTCTCTCCCTGTCTGTGTGTCTTATGGAGAGCAAGTTGGGGTATGTGAAAAGATACATTCTTAATACAAGAAATTGTATATGGCCAATAAAGTGATCTTATCTTAAAGACGATGCAGAAAATGGAATACTGTTCCATACTGTAATGGAAAGTGGAATACTGTTATGTATTTTTTTAGCTACGACTACCAGCTATATACAGTATGTATAATATATTTATATTTCTAAATTAATGTAGTTTATGGGATACAGATGATTATGCTTCTGTTGTTTTGTCAGCTGACAAAAGTTCCCTTTAGTTACAAAATTACATATTAATATTCCACATTAAGTGGATTTAAAGTTGATAAACAGTAAGGAAACATATTATATGAAGCAAGGGTTTCACTAACATCAAATGCTAATAATCAAGAGTCTAATACAGGAACAGTGATTTCCCATTGCAATTTGTGATTTAAATATGTTAATACCAACATCATTCATTGCAAAAAAGTACAAAATTAAAATGTCACAGATAAAATGTGTAATGTTAAAGATGTAAAATGTTATTATTGGCTTCACTTTATTCATAGTCAGTTGAACAGAGGCTCTCTTTTCTTCCCTCCCTCTGTTGGTAGGCTCATAGCAGCTTTCTTCTTCAGACTAGATTTTAACCAAACCTCCATCTTGTCTCTACCTACAATTCTTACAGGAATTACAGGTTAATTAGCCTTACTTCAAATCCATGGAATGTATATACGAGTCATTTAGTTAGAAGACCACTAAATAAAGCTCTGTTTTGGTAGATAGTCTGAATGGAGTTGGAAACATAGAAATTGTGTTACTAATGTTTTGATGTACAGATGCAGCCATTCAAAACAAGCGGGGTATGCTGCGGTACAACTCGGTGGGCATTGTGAAAACAGTCACAATGTACTTTGTACACACAGCAAGTGTTTTCGTGAAAAAGCTACAGACGTGCCAAAATCATTCTCGAACTTCAAGCTAAGTTTACTCTGGATCCTGTCCCCACACACCCTGTCCCCACTGCGATTAGAATATATATAAAGCCTGATTTACATACTATGCCACGTCTGCAAAACACCTTAGATAGTTAATGCTACTTCACTTTCTTGGGCGTGATTTTTTTAGGCAAAAACCAGGCTAACAGGCTTGCTTTGTGATCTTCCTAAGGTTGTTAAGAGCAGTGTCAAAATGTTTCCATATGAAAGGATTCATATGAAAGGCAGTGACGTCACCGTCCTGAGGCGTGTGTGTGTGGCAGATCTGTGATGTGGTTGAGTGTGAATAGTGGTGAGCCTTTGATTGGGAAAAAAAAGACCTGCTGATCTGTTCCACATACCAGGAAGACAACAGAATATGATTTTTTTCTATTCGAAACATGTATTTTAAATGTTTAATTAAGAAGTAAAAACCTTACAGTGTACACAGATTTCTAAGCTGATCACGAGGAAGAAAAAAATACCAGTGTTTTGCACATAAAAAGTGGTTATTAACTATCGAAACCTGTTTTTATAGTTTTTAATGTCGTGCAATGTCTAAGCAGGAACACATCATTATATCTTATATATGAAAAATATATATCTTATATATGAAAAAGTGTGGGTGTGTGTCTCTCTGTACTCCGCTGTACTGAAAAATAAAGCACCATTTTTCATTCAATGAGTGCCTGAGTCACTGTGTCCATCCTATATAATAATGCCACAATATTATAAACACAACAGTTAGGCTGGGCAATCCAATTTTTTAATTTAAAAAAATAATAAAAATTAGATGTAATGATGTGTTCCTGTTTAACTTAGAAATTGCACGACTTTAAAAGCGATAAAAACAGGTTTCGATAGTTAATAACCACTTTTTGTGCACGAAAAACGGGTGATTTTTCTTCCTCGTCATCAGATCTTTCTTGGAAAAATATCTTACCCGCTGCAATCCGGGCACAGAAGGGTTGACACTGAAGATATTATTAATAACCTTTTAAATCTGAAGGGAGATCTTAAGGGATCCACACGGTACAGGTTCCTGCTGGCTATTCAGAGGGAAAGACGGTGGCGTCACCATGCAGGCGTCCATGCATATTATAAGAAGTATAGGTGTCCTCTATGGATAATACAAATTGCAACAAGGCTAACATGTGATCTGATACACATTACAGGAATACTGATTTGTTTTGATTCAGAAATTCAAGTCCAGAAACGTATTAACATTTTTGTTTAATGAACAGGAGATTATTTTTTAAACAGAGTAATGTGAGTTTAGAATAAATGTCCTAACAATTTCCTGATGCCAACATTGTGAATCTATTACAAAAAATTGTATTTGATCTTAGATCATCAAGCTACGAGAAGCAAATTAGAAAAAGGGGCCAAATGTTCCCCTCATTGTTAACTATTTTAGTGTCCTTCCTCTTCAATAAAAATGTCATAATTTTTATTAAGAGCACACACATACAACTAAGTTGTATTGTGAAATATTAGATTAATATTTCACTGATTCACTTTATGGCTGATTTTAATCTTTTCTTCCAGACAGAAACATAATAGTGCTTGCTAGAATAATTAATGAAACCCATTTGTTGTTTTTTTTAAATGTCAACTTTTTTCAAAAGATTTGTCCCCACAGTTCAACCCCCACACCAGCCAATCAAGACAACAATTTGTTTTATGTTTTCGATCTATTCTACCAACAACTTCAGCAAAAAAGCTCTCCTTGTCCAACAGGTCAGGATGCAGGCCGTCAATCTAAATTTGTAAACACCAAAATGCATAAACTAAAACTATATGAAGGGGGAAAACTAAAACAAATATTTATTTTTAGTCAGTGACTAAAGATCATGCTCATTTTCAATTTATATTACAAACAACTAATTCAAATAAGTAATACGTCAATTGAATAAAAAGCAGAATATATATAAAGCCATCCAGGGACAAAGATAGAAAACTTTTCATACATGTCAGTCCATGTCACTTTTTCATGATTGTTCAACTAAAAAGATTTTTGAACTAAGAAAATTGATGACTGTCTTTTAATTTTTTCTTGTCATGCTTTCCTGGACTGCAATGGAGTAAAACTACTGTTGCCGTGGTAACTGGCCCTAACAGGAAGGTGGAGATTTGGCCTGAAATGCAATCAGACATCAAGCCTGACCACTTGTGTGCTATTACCACCTCTCCAGCCTCAGCTGGCTCAGGCTACTTAAGGTCAGCTCAGACTTTATTCAGGACTCTGGTATAGAGTCTGCTTGAGTGAGTCTTCACAAGAGATTAATTCTAGCTTGTTACTGGGTTTCTCTTAGCTTTATTCTCTATTGCTTGTGTTCACTAGTTTTTGTGTTCTCCAGTTGCTACCTTTGTTCTTTTGTTCCCGTGTCACTCTCTTTAGTTCTTGTGTTGCCCCTCTTGTGCTTGTTGGATTCCTGATATGGCTTTTCCTGACCTTGCTCTTAGTCTCTCCCTTGGCTTCTGTATGGTGTTTACAATATCTCAAATTGGAACTTGGCTTCCTACAACCTCATCTCCTGGACTTTCCCTTGTGATGCGTTACTGCATCTACCTGGTATTGACCCCTGCCTGCATGACCCTTGAGCTGGTTCTATACAGCCAAATCGAATCCTGATAGCGTACAGATTGCTCAGCCTAGCCCCAGTGTACTAACAGCACTGTTATCACCCCAAGTGCTTTGTACAGTCAGCTACAGTGCTTTTCCAGTGGGGGCATAGCACTGCTGCTGCCCTGAGTGCTTTTTACCTAGGCCACAGTGTAAACACCTTGCCCCTCCCATTTGCCTGTTTTCCCCTGCTTTGCTTTGATGGTTGCCCAGCATATGGGTTCATCACCAAAAAAAGTCTATATCTTGGGTCACCACAAATGATGGACATTGAATTTCTAGCATAGCTTTCTTTCATCTCATATTAGAAACAGGTAATTATTCTTTTCAATTTCCCACTGGGACCTTGTGCTTTATAATTTTGATTTTTATATAACTGTTATATAATATAACGGCTTTGAAATTTGAAAAAAACAGGAAACATATTTAATCTTTGGAGCCTCCTTCAATTAAATCCTTACATGTTATTGACATTGTATTTGTTACAAAGTTTAAATCTAACTTGAATTGAAATCCTTATCTCACACAACAAAATAAACATGATAAAATAATGATGTTGCTTTAGACTGATTATACTTAGGTTTTGAAGAGAAACGGTTATATTTTTTTATCCATCCATCCACTTTCTAATCACTTCCAGTACAGGGTCAGGGAGAGCTGGAACCTAACCCAGAAAGCAATGGGCACAAGGCAGGGTACACCCTGGACATGATGCTCATCAAGGGCACACATAGACAAAAAGATGCACACACTCACACCAGAGCCAAATTTCTCAGATGCTGATTAACCTACCAGAATGTCTTTGGAACAGTGAGAGGAAACCCATTTGAATACGGGGAGAACCTAGAATCTCCTTGCAAATAACATCCCAGGAATTGAACCCAGGGCCCTAGTGATATAAGGTATCAATGCTAACTACTGTGCCACAGTGGTGCCCCATATTGTTTTATAGATATCTTTAAAGCCTGGAATGACTAAAGGCTGAGATTAATGGAAAATTCAGAATTAAGATATTATGCTAAGACCATCCTTGAACCAGAGATAGTTAAACTCTCAATTCATAGGAGTGATCCAAACTTTGACAAAGGTAATCTTTTTATCTTTACTCTCACATATACAGTATGTGTATAGAATTTCAGTATTGTATATAAAAATTAACATACAAATGCAACTTGGACTCACCATGTCAGTATCAGAAACTGGTCCAAAACTAGTAACATAGATATCAGTCTTTACTTCTGTTACCCGATCTGCAATGCAAAAAAAAGATAAATAATTAGTATCATAATCTGGTTAAACAACACTCTGGTTAATGATGCATGAAATCTTCCTGCAGCTGTATAGAATTATGTTATTTTAGCATTAAACATATATGACTCTGTTGCCATGGTGACTCTATGTCATAATAATACAATTTATTAATTAATTTCCATATGCCTTTCAGTTGTGTTGACTCTGCATGTATTAAAACACCGAAAAAAAGCAGTTTTATTTAAAACCTTTAAGTGAATTATGTTTGCATCACAATCACAATCACAATCCTAAACCTGTACCAGTTTTTGTCCTATCTAAAACAGATCTTTAATGAGAATATGCAACCCCATCAGGCTGACTAATCAAACAGGCTTTCTTCTCTCCCATGACTCCCACCTACATTCCCTCTAAGCAAGATGACCTACATTTTAAAATGCATCTCATTAGGATAAACAAAATGTTTCAAAGCAATACAATAAAGCTTAGTGCTCCTTGTAAATTGAATACCATGCTCACTATATTTTCAATGAATTTCACACTAATTAACAAGTATATGTAAAATATCATAGTGGTGTTGTTATATTCAAAATTGTTTAAATCTTTTCTAATAAGCTTGGTAAACTATTTGTGAAATATGTCACATTTAGTTTTCCTTGGAGCTGTTGAGGCCAAATAACTATTTGTTTAAGAAAAGGTAAGAAAGTTATAATGCTGAAGTCTAACAATGCTGATTAGAGATGACCTCTGTCTCTGATGCGACTAAAGCATCAACTGCTACAAAAGATGAGTACAAAGGGATGCTGACTATACAAAATACTAATATGTAATATTATGAAAAAGTGTTAATATCATTAAGCATGAGATTATATTGTTACAAAGGAGGGGGTTACAAAAAGGGTGAATATCAGGATTTGACCAAGCAGCTTAGTCAATAACAAAAATAATATCAACCCCAACTTGTAATGATTGCTCCAAAAATATACCTGAGCTTTTGGTAAAGTTAGAAGCATTTGTATTCCTTGTTCTCTGGCACAGATTTTGTAAAAAGCATAATCATTCCAGCACTCTTGGTTAAACAAATATTTATTAACAGTGACAGTGACACACACTACAGTACACAAAACATAAACATACAACACACGTTTCTCTATATTTACGGTATGTACCGACCTACTTCTAGACCACTCAGAAAACCCCAGACTGCTAGCAAATATTCGACTCGAGAATAATGCCTAGAGAGGCCAAAAAGAGAAAAGCTGCCTAAACTAAATGCAACACAACTTGTAGTTGAATCTCTTCTCTACAAATCCAGATGTCACAAAATAAAGGGGAGCCCATCTCCCAATTCTAAACATGCACCTACCAAGCAGGAAGGCCATTTTTAGGTATTCTTCATTCGAAAATCCAGGTTCCCCCCAAAAAAACAGAATAGTAAGCTCTCTTTGCAAGGTTCAAATACTTAGCTCTAATCATTTATTTTTTTTGAATGATCAAGATGAAGGGATTCTTGCCTGGCACAAGTTTCAAGTTCCATCTCTTCGTATCTCCTCTCTGTCATGATTTGATCTTTCCTAGTTCTCCTCTCTTGTCTTCCAGTCCTGATCTGATTTTATATGGTGTCTTTCTGAACTGTTGATTGACATTTAATAATTTACCCAAAAATTCATTTACTTTAATTAACTAAGGTAAACTTTATGATTGCTTTGATAACATACTCTGGACTCACTTCATCTTAACAAACATTCCCTTTGCTTTGAAACAATGTCAAAATCTCTAAACTCTTAAGAGATACTGCCTAGCCACTAACAGTTGTAATAATATTTTATAAGAGAAAATAAGATCACGTTATTGGCCATATACTTGTATTAGGAATTTATATTTTCACATACCCCAACTTGCTCTCCACGAGACACACAGACAGGGAGGGAAGCCTGGGGTCAGAGCACAGGGTCAGTTTTTTTTAAAACTTGTAGCAAGTAATATTTGTTTGTTTTTATTTATCTCCTCCAACTAGAGTGCTGTATTGGAGCTCTGTGAAGTTGGCCCCGCTACAAACATATATATCAGATGTTACATTTAGGAGGGGAGACAATAACTTCAGCCCCAACCCCCACTTCTGGACAGATAGGGAAAGATGTTCTATCCAGTCAAAAGGGTGCTGTGTCACAGAGTTCAGTACATTTGTAGGTTACTGGCTATGAACTGAAGCAGCCACAAGTCCTGCTCCATTTCCACAAAGTAGTAAAGGTGGCTGTTCAGTAATAAACTACAAAAAATATGAATCAGTCTCCATCCAATTACCATCCATACCGGCAGTGTTTTTAATTACTATCACACGAATCCTACAGTTACATTAATATGGAGTTCAGATATTTGGCAGTTAAAAATATAACTTATGGTTATTTTGGAAGGATTTTGACATAATTAAAAAAACGTGTATTGTCTATACAGTGGTATTTAACATTGAAATGCTCATAGACTGTAATTTAGCACATTGTACTCAAGCAGCAGTTTAGAACAGTGGTTAAAACAAGTGGTTCCTATTTGAAAGAACATGGTTCAATCCCGATCAGAAATCCTTTTGGCTATATTTTTACATGCCAGATGTATAAAGATAGTTTATTATTATAGCTTGTTATAAACTCCTCTTTCAGGTTTACATCCGCATTAAGAAAATCTATATTTTGTCTTAATGCAAATTTCAGCAATGAGAAATCAGCAAATTAATCTGTGTACTGCAATGTAGCTGATTTTGGCAAACAATTTTGCTTGAAGAATTTAAAATCTGTCTGTAGTGTAGCTCTCATTTAATTGAGCAGAAAGTCACCTTGGTCTTACAATCATCTCTGTTTGGAGAGTTTGTGTTAACACACTGCACACTTTTGAGTGATGTTTTAGCACATTTATCACCTTTATCTTTCCAGGGAGTGGGGATTGAGGAGAGTGATGTAGAGTGAAATAAAAGCCCACACCCAGTTTCCCTCTCCGAATTATATAGTGATAATTCGCTATCTGGCTGGCACGAAACAATTCCTCCTGTGCTCTTTCTGAGCATCCTGGAAATGGTCTAGAGGTTCATTCATGTTATTACTTAATTCTTGATATTAATATAAATATTAATATAAATAATATTATTAATTTGATATACCATAATATGTACAATTACCAGAAATGTGAATATAGTTTGCATAGTATTTTATTGAGAGAATAGCAATTATATTCATCATCGTATTAACAGTTAAATTAATCATAACAACAGATATTTCTCACCTGAAAACAAATTTCTTTATTATATTGGGAGTTGAAAGATTCAGTGAGCACAGAGACGCTATTTAACACAGTGATATTCCTCTGCCGGACAATTATAGTAAATACTTGGAAAAAGTCTGGAGTTTCAGTTTCACAAGGCAAGATAAAATTTTATCCAGCTGTGAATTAGTTGGCCCCATTAAGTTTTCGGGAAAGGGGGTTAGTGGGCAGGGTCCCCCACCACGTAGTGCCCATAGAGTGTTAGTTTTAATATAATAGTTCATCATTGTGCTCTTTATCTTACAAGTATGTTTTTTAAAGATTTGTAATCACTATTCTTGGTAATATACTTTGTATTGTTATTCAGTTTGTGTGTTTGTGTTAGTTGGCAAACTAATTAATTCTTCTACAACGAGGATACCTTTAAAGCGGAGAAGTGGGCACCAAAAATTTTTTGTAATCCCTCTCTTTAAAGCCCTGTCTTAAAATTCAAACTGAACTAAAAAACTACACATCCCAGTTAACGTGGCCGTGCTTGTGATCATTGTGTTTTACCAACAAAACAAGGCAAAAATCAAAAGCTTAACCTATCAGGAACAAAGCGACATTTACATGATAGGCTACCTCAAACTGTCAGCTACTCTGCTCTGTATGCCGCTTAAACCATTCCTATTTGGCTTTTTAGTTACAGAGGCAGGAAGACACCTCCCACCCCTTTTGGCTGCCTGACTTGTTGGCATCTTTAACTGTTCTGTATCTGATTCGCAGTGCTTGAGAGAGAGTAGGGAGAGGCACAGACAGAAAAAAGTGAATCCCAGCTAAAATACATTTATATATTTTTGTGTCCAGGGGAAGGAAAACCTCAGTATTTACTACTAGTAATTAGTGTAAGATTTATTATTGAAATATGAGCCTAATTATAGAGGTAACAACAAACAGATAAACAGAGTAAAGTTGGAAATGTGTAATTCTTCTGGAGCAAAAATATGAATTCAAAATAACTGCATTTGACATTTCAAATCAATTTCAATGAAGGTCTCCAAAAGGAACAAGAATAACATTTTCAGAGACTACTTTATGTTTACATAGAATAAGCAATTAGAAATTTGAGCAATCTATTTTTTTATTTACACTTAAACTTCAGAAAACTTGCAGAAGATCCCACCAGAGGGAGCATTAAGGGTGAATTAAGCCATGTGAAGTGCAATCATTCGGTGATCAGTAATAACAGTTTAAAATGTATATAGATTAATGTAAAGAATCTGAAAACTTCACAATTAAAGAGCTCTGTAGAACAAGAAACAAAAGGTAAAAGTAAACTAAAGAATTTTAAGGCTGAAGCTAAACTTCAGTCTAAATAATTAAGACAAATGAGAATTTAGAATGTTAGAGATGTAAATAAATGGTTTAGATGTAAAAATACAAAAATGCATGGAGTTTTTGAAAGTTATTTGGAGCAATTCTTACTTTGAAATGTGCAAACATAAAAAAGCTATGAGCAGACATAGAGCAGAAGAGGAATGCAGGAACACTTGCAAAAGCTTCAACATACAAAAAATCATGCTATAAAAGATCATGTGAACCTGAAGCAGATTTGGCAGCGTGAAGGCCTTGAATAAGTAAGTGCATTTCTGGCAGGGAGAGTAGGAAGGTTTGGAAGAAGAGTATAGATGGGATAGGGAGTCAGAAATTTAGAAGAACATGTAGTACAGATGCAGCCATTCAAAACAAGCGGGTTATACCGCGG